AAGTAAAAACATTTCACGTGTGGAAAATAAGAACTATAATTTGCATTAGCTGGGGCGACAACAACTTGTGCAAATGGCTACTGACTTTGCAAAGATTGACTGGCCAGTTGATTTTGTTTGGAGCTAGAACAGCAAACTGGCATGAGTGAACTATGTCCTCTCAAATATGAAATAATATCCTAAAAATCTTCATTAAAAAAGTCAATAATGAAAAAAAAGAAAAGAAAAGTTAACTCTGTTTTGCTCCTGGGACCGTCCACCACAGTTGTTTCCTCTTTGTGTTTTTTTTTTTTTAGAGTTGTGACTTTTCTGCTGGATTAAAACCACATGAAACGTGGTCATATGATGTTAGACAACACTGACTAGTTTATTTACCTAAAGCCAGTTCATGGAAAAGGGGCTGAATCACGGTTCTTCTTGGTGCGTTTCAAAAGGTTGATTCATTCAGATCTGCTTCACTTGTGAGTGAAAACCCATCCGGTCAGTCAGTGTCCCTTTGTAGCATTTATTCAGGTTTATCCAGGAAAAAAAAACTTGTGTTTAAAAAAACTATTTCTAAGAATGTTAAGATAAAAGTGAACAGAAATAACAAAATCAAACAACAAATAGATTATCCAAGCATAAATAACCAAAGTTGCTGAAAGCTGTTCCAAAGGACTAATCTATAAGTTTTCTAATGATCACAAACTAATGTTGCATTCAATATATTGAGAAGAACAAGAACAAGAAGAAAAAGAAGCACAACAAAAAGAACATGAAGAAGAACAACATCAAGCAGAACAAGAAGAAGAAAAAGAAGAACATGAAGATTTTTTTTAACAAAACTTTATTTAAACAATAAGTTAATGCAACAGCTTTAAAAAAAATGTGATCAGGACAAGCTTAAAATAAAATATTTACATAAGGAGCTTGTTGTATTGTAGTTCTCCATGATCAGAAATGGTGCATAAAACCTTCTTAAATCCCCACAGTTTCACAAAATTCTCCACGTGTCCAGTGTCTCTGGAATCAAAACTCCAACGCCTGTCTGGCCTTGACGTTGCACTTCCACAGAGGCACGGCATCAAGTTGAGGCCCAGCTTGCAGTTTGTCCCTGCGAGACATGTAAACAGCCATTTTTGCTTTGGCCACTAAAAAGTTTAAAGTTTGGGATTTTAATTTAGTGGCTTTGCTGTAATGTACTCTAATAAAAACAGATTTGGTGAAAACGATGTCACAAAGGCTATAGCTCCTCGTCATTAGATTAAACAGAGTCGTCAGCCGTACACAATCTGTAAGAACATGAGAAACACTCTCAGACAAACTGCAAAAAGGACACTCGTTTAAAACCTCAGGATTGATAACCGACAAAAAAAGAGTTTGTTGCAATAGCGCCGTGAAGGATCCTCCATTGAAGAGTCAGTCCATTTTTTGTTGGAGATTTGTAGAGAGTCCTCCACTGGGGCTTCTGACCTCTGAGCTTGTCATCCCACACACTGACAGATCTGTTGTGCAGAGTTCTCTTGTTCAGGATCTTAACATAAGCCTTATAAAGTACTTTTGGACCTGTTCTGCACAAGTCCATCTTTGGGTCTGTGTTGCGTAGCAGAGGATCGCTGTCTTTCACAAAGCTAGGATCCAGGTGGATGTCCGGGAAAGGGTCCATTGGGTCAGGCGAGCGATTCCCCGTGGACCACAGCTGCAGGAGACGCTTCTCTCCAGCTGTCATCCTCTCCTTCACCAGGTCCAGGAAGCACTGCACCACTCTGGCAGACTGGACCCCAAGCAACGAAACCATCTCTCATACGCTGGAGAAGTCTGATCCGGCCGTCTGCCTCAGGGTCACCATCCCAGATTTGCACAGTGCTTTTGACAGACCCGGCACCGTGCTATTACAGATGTCCATTCTCGCTTCACAAACTAGCGTTTCCTCTAAGAGCCACTGCAGAGAATTATACGTTTTTGATCTGTTTGGTTTAAAAAAGGAAAACACTTTGAAAACACTCTGATAAAACTGGGGCAACCCCTTTAACTTTAAAAGGGCCAACATTGGTTAGAAACAGAGCAGCATCCAGCCCCAACTCGCTCATGCGTCTGACGATGCAGCAGGACACGTCCCTCTACACAGTGTCAGGAGGTCCTGCCAGGTACTTCTGGAGGAACTGTATTTGAAAAGTGGCCTTTCTGCTGGCTAGGTGGACAAGGTCCTGTCCCCTCTCCTCTCTAGATAAGAACAGGACTGACAGTGGCACCCATTGTCAACCGTTCCAAAATAAATCTACCATCTCAGACTGTATTTTTACTAACAGGCCTGGAGGTAGATCTAAAGTGCCATAGTTGTGATGCAACTAGGTTGTTTAACACTAGTACTCTGCCTCTGTAGGACATTTTAGAGTGCAGCTATTTTTTTTTTTCAATTTATTCTTGACCTTCTGTTCCACATTTTCCCAGTTTTTCTGTACTACAACCTTATCCCTTATAGACACCAAGATATTTAAGACCATGTCTCTTCCACGAGAGGTCTTGAGGGAGAACTGGTAGCCCTTCAGACCAATCACCCACAGCGAGGGCTGTGTTTTTTCCCCAGTTCACCCTTGCAGCAAACAGGGTGGAAAAGCTCTCAGTGACCTCGTTCAGTGCGTCGACGTCTTGTTTTTTTTTTTTTTATATAAAACCAACAACATCGTCAGCATCGGTGGATAAAACTATATTACTATTAAAACCAGATAAAACAAAACCATGGACACTCGAACGGATCTTCTGAAGGAGGGGTTCCAGGGAGAACGCATAGATCATTCTCAAGAGCGCACAGCCCTGCCGAACACTTCTACACACCCTAAAAGGAGCACACAGGCTACCATTGACCTTCAGCACACCCTCAATGTTACTGTGCAACACCTGGATCTTGACTATGAAACCAGTGCTGAAACCAAACCCCTCCATGGTTTCCCAGAGGAAGTTGTGCTCGACGCAGTCAAAAGCCTTTTCTTGGTCAAGTGAGACCAACGTTGTGTTCAGACCCAGTGAACTGGAGACTTCCAAAACATCTTGAATCAGGTAGATATTATCTACCATGGACCTGCTGGGGACGCGATAAGGTCCCTGTGGATGACTTGTTCCATTGCCTCTCTCATCCTGGTTGCCAGTACCTTGGAGAGGATTTTGTAGTCGGTACAGAGAAGAGACACCGGGTGCCAACTCTTTGTCTCCTGCAGATTCCCTTTTTTACTTCGAGTCTCAGAAGACTTCAAAATAAGTTTTTTTAGATAAAAGACAAAATGTTTCAACAGAAAAAAAAATCTGGACCTGACTCAACTTGTTAGATTCATCTGAATTGAATTATTGAGCATCAGGACCTTCTCAAATTAGTTTTTTGTAAATCTACAGCGCTAGAGCAAGATTTTTTTGTAAATGTGTGAACACCGAGAAAAATTAGTTGCAAAGTTTTGCATGATTTTTTGCTGACCTGTTGTTAGTCAAATTCCAAGTAGACTTTTTGTATTCTCTTGCAATTGTTTTTTTTATTTTTGTTTGTTTGTTTGTGTTTCTTGTTGTGTCTTCGCTAGTCTACAAAATTGAGACACTCGAGGTACATTATTACTTTGTATCAGTGTGCTTAACATGGCATATGTTTATCAGTAATCTTAATCCCATTTTAATCAAATTTCAGCTTTTATCTGACCCTAAAATATGTGACATTTTTTATAACTTTGGATGTTCAAACCTCTTCATGCTAATGTTTTTATAGTTTTAGTTTATTGTGCTAAGCCATAATCTTAGGGTACGAAGAGGTCCATACAATCAGCTCTTTCCATGAAACTCCAGGTACACTGTGACCAAACTGCAAAAGAATTAAGAGGTGAAAGTACGTACCCGGAACCACCACCCTATCGGTGCACATTCACTGGTATCGTCACACAGTTGAGCACAAAATGTTAATTTATTGCATTGCACAAAATATATAAGCACCAACTCAATCCTTACAAAAAGCCAGTGTTGTGTAGACATTTAAAATATTTTTCTGTGTAAAAAAAATTGCATTTCTTCAGTCTGATTTAAAGCATCTGGCATATGTTGTTTTGTTTGCTTGTTTGTTGTCCTGTTTTAATTTGGGATAAATCAGTTTGTTGTATGAAAGGTCAAGTTTGTTGGATTCATTTGATTGATAAACTTCCACTCAAATCTTGTAATTTTAGGGACAACATACCTGTTACCCTGCAGAGTTCAAACATTTTTGTTACCATTGCTACATCTACAGGCTTTTATTTTTAATACCATAACTGCACAAATATATGTTTTTAAATAAGGTGATTTTCTGTGGATATTTTAAACACGTATGGTAAGGATTTGAGTCAATGCGTTTGTCCTGCTGCTGTTTGCACAGGAGTAATGCAGCAGAATCCTCTGAGTCTGCGCGTGTTTACACTGTGGGAGGTCATAGTTCACTCACCATTACAGTGGAGACTGAGGAATGTTGTTCAGCATATACATTCTCTCTCAAATAAATACCAACTTTTCTGGTAGTGAATCTGCTTTGTTATTACTATATTACTATGCCTGCTCTGCTTCCACTCTCTTTTAATATCTGCTGCTCCTCCTACACATCTGTTTGGTGTTTTGTGATTAAACCTGGAAAATGTAAAGAATTCAGGTGTGTGTGTGTGTGTGTGTGCGTATGCGTGTTTGTAGGGGTGGGCTCCTCTCGTACTGTTGGTGGCCCTGTTTATCATAGCTCCGCCCCTCCAATGTTCCAGCTCCCCTGAGGGCGGCGCTTTAAATTGTACTAAACTCCTCCCGTCCGGCGCCTTTTTTCCTTTATCTGCACGAGACAGGACGCACGTGCTCTGTATTGGACTCTATTTAACTTTTCATCCTGCTGGTAAATATATATGTATATATATATTATTTCTTAAGAACGATAGGAGGGGCAAAAAATAGTCCGTGGTGTTTGCATTATTTTATTATTGTTTGTTATTAAAGGTGCAGGAGCTCGGGTTTTAAATGGGCGGGCTGTGTGTTAGTCTGACGAATAAAAAGCTGTAGCCTATAGATCGGCTTTTTAACCGGGTCCCAAAGCAGCCAGGCTTTAAAGGAACCGAATCCGCTTCAATTGAAGACGGGAGGCTTTAACAAGTGACAAAGGTGAGCGCAAGAAAGGCGACGCGAAGCGAGCTATTTAGCTTAAACATGCTAAAGATGAGGCGTTTTACAAAAAGCCGACGCTCCGGCGGGAAAAAAAAAAGAGGCGCATTCTGTCACCGTGAAGCCGTTTTTTTTTTTGTTTTTTTTTTGTAGCCTCGGCTCAGGCTTTCCTCCGCAGCACAGTCGCTCGAAACCTCTATTACAAATAAAAACAGCTCGCCCTCATTTAGCTGAGGTTGTTAGCATGTTAGCATGCAAATGCAAACGAGCCGACACAGCAGCCATTGTGCATGGATCTCTCCGCGGCCCGGGCGCGCGCAGACACGCTGTGAGGCGGCTTCGCTGCCTGATCGTTTGGACCCAGCCGGGCCTATTTGATTGGTACGGGATGTATTTTTTTTGCAGGTTTGTATTTGTGTGTACCACCTCCAGATGATATTGCATTATCCCACGATCGGTTTCGTTGTGGATCCCTTCGTGTAGCCGAGCGCGGATGAGACAGAAATAGATCTGGAACTCGGCGCGGATTAATTGGGTTAAACGGTGCGCGGTTCGGTCGGTCATTTCGGGCTTGCTGCTGCGGTCAATGAGTTTAGTGGCTCTGGTACTTCATGTTCCCTGCTTTTGTGTTGGAGCTCGAAGCCTCGTTTCGCGCCCAAGGCCCACCGGTGTTTATTTTATTTTGTTCTTTATATTTATTCCATAGGGTTGGAAAAGCAGAGCGAACATGAGCGACAAGAAGGGGACAGTCTCACCGAAAGAGAAGGAGGCGACAGAGAAGAGAGGGCGTGGAAGACCCCGCAAGCAGGCCCAGGTAAAAACCTCTGACGTAAGTAGTGGTCATTTACTCCTACATGGTTTATTTTGACTTTGCATGGTGTTGCAGCATCTCTAAGCTAAAGTAAATTGAGCACGAGGCCTGCATATGAGCAGATAAACAAACCCGTCAGCTCCCAGCTGATGCTTGGATAAATGCACTTTGCATATCAGTGTCCTGAGGGCAGATTGAGATGATTCCAAGCATGCCTGCAGCACAACCTCGTACCCACAGGGCTTATCAGTGCAGAGGTCTTGCAATAAACTTCCTGCACGTCTCACCAGTTTGTAAGCAACCAGTAACCCAATACCTTTTAAACTGGTTTCAACTCACCCCCGCCTCTCATGTAATGCATGACGGAGCAGAGTGGATCGTATAGATGTCAGTCAGCCTGCTGTGTTTCGCTACAGAGTTTGCTCGGTTGCTAAGAGCTGCAGTGATCAACACGCCGGAAACGCAACTGTAGACAAGTGAGCCATGACCGCTTCAAAGCAAACGTTCACACATGAATAAGAGGACTCGCGTCATGCTGAATTAGCCTTACTCTCATAGGGGTGATGGCAATGTTTACGTCGCCTTAACTTTTTTTTTTTTTTTTAATGTCTGCCTGAACTGCTCAGTGTTTGTTTTGGTTTCTAAGTAGCACAGTTTCACTTGTTGACAGCTAAGTGGCTGATTGGTTTTTTGTTTTTTTTTTTTTTTTGGTTGGATTTTCAATGTGTGCTGTATTTGTTGCTCTAAAAGTCTTGACTACGATCTTTGATTTTGAATGACAGGATCCAAGTGGGTCCCCATCTCCAAAGAGACCCAGAGGACGACCAAAGGGCAGCAAAAACAAGGCAACCGGCAAGGGCAAAGTAAGCTGCACCAACATGTTTTTTTCTTCTCTGCAGCATGCATCCCAAAGATAAACCCAAAGTCGTTCTTGACAAGCTCTTCCTGTTCGAAAGCCCATATTTTTTTTCGGTTGCAGCAGCTAACCTCATCCTCTTTAAGGATGTTGAGCTGTTGGGATATATTTCTTGGCTGCAGTTTAACGATTTCCACCTCCGGGTGTCAGAAATAGTCCAGCCCTGACGCCCCATTGTAAAAATAAATAAAAACGTTTGTTTTATTACTTTATTGTGGGCTGGGCGGGGGTGATGCTCACCCTGCAATTCCTGTCCTCCAGCTTCCTGCAGCTTGTCGGGCGCTGTGCTGTGCAGGTGCAGAGGCCGCAAGACCGTTTCCAAGCTGACACTAAGCACCCCTCCGCCCTCCCAGCCAGCACACAGCCCTAGTTCTTCTCTCCCTGTCTCCATAGCAACAACAGATTTTTCTCCCTCGTCCCAACCCTCCAGCTCCCCCTCCGTGTGCTCTCCGCTGCTGTCTATGGGAGAGGGAAAGATGGAGGGAGTTTGGGCCGCACACACTGATCTAGGTTTCGAAGCAATCGGGCGAACTGCGGAGGATTTGTGGCTCCGCTCGGTTTCACCAGCTGTCTCTGAGCCTCAGACCAGGTGGCCAGCGAACTGGAGTGCCCTGTGTGCAGTTCCTGTTGGCCTTCCAGATAATAGCCAATGAACCCAATGCCCCCTTTTCCATCTTGTCTTGTTGCAGCTACGACTGCCATCTGCAGGCAAGTCTGTGGAAATGGATACAGACACTTTTTGTAACCCCCC